CTATCTTCACCGAATGATTTATAAAAAGCAAGTAAAAACGCTGATTTTTTTTATCCTTCATTTACATATACGTAGTAGAAATATATAGATATTTCTACTACGTATATGTAAATGAAGGATACAAAAAATCATGGCTTTTCACTGCCTTCACCGAATGATTCATAAAAAGGAAGTAAAAAGCGATAGTTTTTTCTACCTTTTATGTGTACATATCTATATATATATATATGCGTACCAAAGACTCATACCTTCACTTTTTTCAACCCACCTATAACATGATAAAAGATTTTAAATATTTAGTGCTTTTTATTTTCGTTCACGATGTTCTGGCTTATTCAGTGAGCGATGGTAAGTTGATCTGTTTTAGAACGTATTTTATTGAACAATTATGAATTCTATTGATTAGACGTGGGACAACAGCAAAATAACGAATTGTTCAGCAATATTTCGAATTGGACACAATCCATGCTGAACAGTAGCAACACGACGATGTTCAACTCAGACTTGTCGGTCGCACGGATAATGCCAGTTGTGGCTCCTACTGGTCAAGGTCAAGTCGTTCATTCTCTACCATATCCGAATTCATTGCGTACCATACGTATTACCTCAAATCAAACTAATGGTCTATATACACTAATGGATGGCAATATTCAAGTTGGCGAAGGAATGCAATTACATATTCACACTCGAGAAGACGAAACGTTTTGTGTTCAAGAAGGTCAAATTCAATTTCGTCTGAATAATGATACATTCTTCGCCAGTAAAGGTGACTGTATTTTTGCAGCCAAACAATCAATAATGGCATTTCGAAACAAAAACACAACTGGAACACGAGTACTTTTCTTCTTTACACCTGGTGGTATAGAAGAATACTTTTATAAAGCAAGCCCATATTTTGCACAACAACCTCCGAACACGACTATGACTGATCAAATCGCAGTAGAGTACGGAATGAAACTATTAGGAATGCCGATATGGGATGATTCACAAGATATTTCCAGCAATGCTAATGGTTCATATCAATTGAATGTTTTTCTTTTGTTGTTTGCTTTTGTTTCATGCTACAAAACAAATATTAACCTCTAAAACTGTTCAGCAGCGTTCTTTGTACTTATGAGTTACTTTGGCTTGTAATAGGGAGAGCTCTTCGTATGCATTATTCTCCCTTGAACTGTCACATGGTGTTACGATTTCTTTCTTTTCTTTCTGTTCGATATGTATATATATATATATATGTCGTGTCGAAGTTCAACTTCGACAATAAATTTTTGTCGAAGTTATTTTACAACATATTAACTAAATAGCTTTCATCAACAAGTGAATATCATTCTATTTAAGCATGTATTGAAACTATTCTTTTCAGCTAAACAATATTTATAATAATATTTATAAAGATTTATTTTGAAGAATTTGCAAATCATTTAAGAATAAAGACTTTTTTTTTTATTAACCTCGTTGAGTTTCCTACTCATTTAGAGTACTTCAAATCTTCTAAAGAATCATAGAAGGCAAAAAACTTTTATGATATAATCAGCGATAAACTTAAACTGATAGTACATAAAAAATCGGCTCATCCATGAGCAGATGTCAATCTTTTCATCTATCAATTGAAATAAAGACAACATAGACATGAATTGATGTGCTGATGATTGGCGCATTGTATTCTTCATTATATTCTATTGCAATTTAGCTTCCACAATAAAGCTAGTTATGCAATTCGACTTGAAAGGTAAGTATAATTGAAATAATGAAATTATGGGTCATGAATAATTGGATAGATGTCAAAGAAGGATATAAATAGACTAAAAATATAGTATATTCAAATAGTTTATACGTCGAATTATAGCGCACCTATTATCACAACTATAAATTTGTAATATGATTGCTACACCTATACAATTACCTGTAGTTCTACAAAGGCAAAAATCTGGTAAAGCGAGACAAGAAGTAACTTCATCAACGACAACAACCAATTCATCTGCAACTGCATGTTCTACAGCAATATCAACTCTAACAACAAGCAGCAGCATGACAAAATGGAAAAATGATTTTGTTGCGGAATTGTTGAAATTAAAAAACAAATCATTAAATAATCCATTTTTTTCACCGGAACGTTATAATCAAACAATTGAATTAATAAACAACGCTAAATTAAAAAGTAATGCTCAACGAAGTGACCAAGAAGTATCACTTTTAAAAACATATGATGTAATTAACGATGGTACTCAACAAAAATTGGTTAAAAATATTAATTCATCAGAAGTTAATTTAATAAAATATTCTGTTATGTCAGACGAAATATTTTACATTATACAAAATGCTCATACTGCAATAGGCCATCGTGGTATTAAATATACAATGCAAGAGATTAAAAAAAGATATATCAGCATTACAGAAAAACAAATTAAATTATTCCTTTCTAGATGCTATGAATGCAAGGTGTGGGTGTGGGTGTGGGTATTCTCTTTATTTCCACACCCACACCCTTGATTATGATCATAAATGATGAACCTTTTCATATTTGTAATACTTTGAAAATAATCAATGTTTACCCCCATAATCATAGTTTATCTGAATTAAAATCAATCATTTGTTTCATTCGAATTATTTTAGCGAATATAAAAAACAGGCTCTTTATTGTGTCAGACCCGTTTTAAGACATTCAGAACCAGAAAGAAACTTCATTTTTACTCATGATTAATTATGACGAACAAGAAATGACTGTCACAAGATATATTGTTTTCAGTTCAAACTGTCTGTTGCTCAGCCACATCGCTTTCCAAGTTGACGATTGCATTGTCCAACTGTAGCCCATAGCTTGAATGTTTTGCCACCCCATTGCCATACTTTTCTTGCACAAGCTAAGTTCTGCTGAGGACCACATGGATATTGACCACTGTTACAGGAAGCAAAATTTCGTTGATTTATTTGAAATAAACCAATATCCCATGTTCCATCCCTGTTGTAATTCATTGCATTGGCATTTCCTTTTGATTCAGCTTGAACAATACACTCACAACATTGTTGATTCCAATCCGTGTACTGTGAACAGTATGAGGCAGCTGAAACGTAGTTTGCCTTTGTTCCACATGGACATGTTGAAGGACAGTCAGAATAGAGACAGTTTTGACCACATTTATCACCATTGATAACACCGATGATAGCAATAATAAGGACAGAAGGAAGAAGTTGATGCATTCGTTTGCTATGGAGAGTAACCAGACAAATATGAAGTATCTGCACAGGTTGCTATATTGTTTTTATAGGCTTTTTTTACATCCGAATTATTTTTTTCCTTCAATTCCTCTTTCGAATAGGCATCAAATTAGTTTTTTATTGCATAGTAAGTGTTTACGTACCATTAAGATAAAAGAAAAGGAAGAGAAAGAAACTGAATCATGTTTATTCGTACACGAAAAACATTTTATGCTGCCAAAGTATAGAACTGATAAAAGAGAGAGGAAGTGATTTCAACTTTTCGATCCATTCTACTTTCTGACCCTAGTCTCAATCCTGTTCATTCCTTGAGAAAGTCTGAAAGAATCTTTCAGAATCCTGGATCCCAAGGATCTTGTGAAGTTTTGATCAAGATCTTGTTTCGAACCATAGTAATTTCTGTTTGCAGGATATCTTACGGTCCAACAGAATCCTTTTCAGAATTTCTTCCAGATCCTGCTCAGGTTTTTTCTTACTTTAGAAATCAGGATCCTATCAGAATTCACTCTTGATCTTACTCAGAATCCTGATCAGAATTATAGAAAGGACTTGCTCCAGATTTTTTCAGATTGTTACCAGGATCTGGTTCAAATCTTCGCATTAAGACCCTGTCAGGATTTATTTCCACATCAGTTGATAGTTTTAGCAAGAAGGTAACAAGATCAGTTCAAGTTCTGAACTGATGATTCCTGTTAAACTTCGATCAGGATCCTGTTCAGAACTTATAAGCGTTTTCAAATTTTGCAGGGCAAAATCGATCCTAATCAGGATCTTGATAGGAAATCATATGGATTCACTCAGAATCAGTATAAGTTAGGGTGTGAGTGTGGGGTGTGGACGTGGGTGGATGTGGGTGTGGGATATGGGTGTGGATTTTCCATCGATCCAGACTGACACCCATTCTCACACCCACATCCTGTAATCAAGATTTGTCGCATGAGTATCTATTGCAAAAATGGAATTGTCTAGCTTAGCCCACACCCTGAGCTGCGGGCCACACTGAACTCAGTCCATTCGGAGCCTCAAGAAGAGACTTACCCACTGCTGTTCCTTTATATAAGAAAAAAAAAGAACCAACACTTATAATTGCAATACTACGATGTGTCCTAAACTTGTCATAATTCATAATACCTTTTATGTAGAAATTCTCTATATATTCCCGAAATGTATAGTTTTGTATCTGCTAAAAGTTTTTATTCTGATTAAATGGTCGATGAAGAATGCGTTTCCGCTAATCCTATTTCATCGGTTCAGAATTATACAATTGTTAATAAAGTATTCATAGATTTTCTTTTTTATCTTTGGGATATGATGTCTTTCAATTGAAGCATTACTTTTGATGAAGCAGCTTTAACTGGTAAATCAATAAGAACTTCACGTTTGGCACTGTATTCTCCTTGGCTGATTTCAATTCCCTGAACTTGCTCACAAATTTGTTTTCCGTTAATAGGTAGCCGATATGGAGTACCAACCAAAGTGAATATATCTTCAGATCGTAGGTTTTCAGTTGTATTTTCTGAATTTCTTTGATCTTGCATTGTTTTTGAATAATTCCATATTACTTATAAAATCACTCATTATTTTCTCGAGATTGCTAATGACTTCGTTATTACGAGCACCTGCACTCTGTTTCAACTGTTCTTCATGAAGAAAATATCGAATATAATCGGGAAAATCATCATTGATTGGAAGTATCGCATTTTGATGAAGAAATCGAGCACGTTTTTTATAGACATCTTGAATCTTTCTTTCTTCTTCTCTTAAACTACTAATATGTTGATCAATATCACTTAGAGACATTTCTTCATTTGATTTAATGTAAGTACGATGTGTATTACACTCGTAAGTGGGATGTTTATGTTACTCCCAATGACAACCACATACTACGCACAAACCTGAACAAATAGAAAAGAATTCACATTAAAAAAAAGAAAGAATAGCATTGTATATATCATTCGTAATCATTAAGAATCTAACAAAATTTGAATTAGAAGTTACATCTCTATCTTTCTATTAGTGTCTGATGTAAGAACAATGATTATAAAAAGCTGCAGTATCTAATATAAGTAAAACAGACACAAATCTAATCTTAAACTTTGTAGACAAGTCTCTTCTTGTCGTGATTGATGCCATCTTCCCTATACCCAATTTCAGCTTGATCATTTATCTTCAGTCTCCTTTTCCGTCTGTTTTATTTTCTTTTGAACGGGATGTGCCTACCTTTTTTTATCTCATTTACGTCTACTTGCTAACTTGTTTCTAGAACTCTGTATTATATTGTCTTATTCGTGATGTTGACAATGAAATAATTTCTACTTCAAACAAATAGAGTAACTCAATTTCAAATGAAATTTTCTCATCTTCTATCTCTTAGAGATTGATAGAAAATGCTATTGATCAATCCCTTAGTGATGATATAAACATACTTTGAAATATACATAGTTATGTTTCGGTGTTAACGGCTACAACTACAAAATGACGGAAAATTTGAATAATTGCACTTGATCGATTTTATCGTTTTGGTAAAAATCTTAAAGCTTCATGAAGCACAGTCATGCATTATAGGAACGAAAACTATTATCGTAACGCTCAACACATCTGAATTCATAGAAAGTAAAATCTCGATTTATACGTATAACAATTGTCTCTATCCTGACTTTCATCTGATGAACATCGGGACCAAGCCACTACAGTTATATTTCCACATTATTATCAATATTTCGAATCGACGCCTCTTTACTTAGTGATATTCAGAATTTTTTTTGAAATGAAGTAGTATGTTCAAACTAGGAATGTCGAACATTGGACTAGAGGAATCATCTTAGAAACAATATGATCTGATGCGGCCTTTGTATAAAAATGCGATTCATGGTGATGATTGGTTCGTGCATTTGTCAATGCTATCCAGAGATATATGAATAAATTGTTCGAGTTTCAAGTAATGTTAAACACTGAAAATCATCTTTCATAAATTCTACGAAGAATAGTAGAGTTTCTTATTTCAAAAATAATAACACAACGTTGTCAAAGTGTAATATTAACTTCTGTATACACTGGAAAAATATGACAAACTGACAAGATCCTACTGGTATAGGTATAATTGAGAATGATGGAGTAAAACATTGACATCAAATATGTTTTAATTGTTAACTAACAAAAAAATTAAAAACTATTATAAATTTACTAGATGCGAGATATTTTAAGGATACAAAATACTATTTATTCAACATCAACAAAAGAAAATGCGTTTTTGTCTAAAACTGCTCAAAAGTCACTGCAAAAAGTATTTCGTATCTTGTCTTGATTTTGTTCTTCTCATAAGAGAAATGAGATTACAGTTTTTGAGAACAAAATTTCAGAAATAAAAGTATGAACACCATTAGTTGCTCAATGTTTTACATAGGGTATTCTTTAATTAATACTGATATCTCTATGTGTACTGGACAATGAATCTTATAAGGCTTATGTTTGTATCACATTACACTGTATGCACATTTTAAAATTAAAATATATCATCATAGTATTAATAGGAGAAGATTTCAAACATTTTACCTGTGTCAGTATCCATTGCTTCACAATATTCTAGTTCCTGATCACTTAATTTTTCTTGTATGGCACCTTTTAAATAACATACATCATGGCATATAAATACAGAACTCACAAAACGTCCCGCACCCAGATGAAAACTATCTAAATCTCAACCATTTGGGCTCATATTTTTACTGTAAATAGAACTCCATGAATGCTGATCATAAGAACCAACAAGAGCCGGTTTACTCAGAATACTAAGGACTTACAAGGCAAATACGTACTTCCCCTTAAAGTAAGGATATCTCAGCATGGAAAGCGAATCATCTAGTGCGCAACCCCCCATTAGAGAGGGCAACACTNTTCAAGGAAAAAAATATATAGAAAAACTTCAAAGAAATACTTGATTTATATTTTAAATTGTAAAAGATGTTATAAATTCAAAACAAAATATGCTCGATTATTGATTCAATATTTGATATAAATTAAACGGTAGGTCATTGTTTAGATATTTATAGTTGGTCATAAGATCGTGATTGTGCTCTTCGTTCAGCTTCTTGCTGGATCATTGCTTGTTGAATATGCATTGGTATACCAGAATTAAGACACAAAGCGTAAGGCAATAATGTTTTAGGTATTTCTCCAAAATCAACCATAATTTTGATAAATATTGTGTCATCTCGTACATAAGGATTACCCTCCTGTTGAAGAGTTTCCAATGCACAAAATTTCGGTATACCACTGGCTATATTTCTATCTAATCGAGGTCGTTGAAAACTACTTGATTTAATATCTGGTCGAAAGGAACCAATAATATGTTGTTGTGCGGATGTTTGATCGTATAAACAAAATATGACTGTATAATTGAATGGAAATTTGAGAATCGGATCGTTCAAACCTCGCATTAGCACAAAAAAGAGTGACATATGTGTACGACGAGCATTTTCGTCACCATTTAAGTAAAGACGAGCTCTCATTTTATACCCATTTGGAGATGAATAAAATGGAGGCGAATAAATTGATGTTTGTCTTTCAGACTGCGCATCAACTAAAAGTTTAACAAAACAAATGCGTCAAGAACAGCAGAAGAAAATATAAAGGACTTTAAAAGGTCGACAGTATTGATGATTCATTATATCAATAGATTACTCCGAGATTATGATCGAGAATAATTATATATTATGTTGAACACAACATTTATTCATATTCGTATTATTTATCGATTTAATAGAAACTGAACAACATATTACTCTTCGATGATCTTTTCAATAAGGTTTTCTATTTTTATCATTGAGGAAAAGACTGATTGCTCAACTTACGCATTTTCTCATGAAAGTTTGTAATTTTCCAAACCAATGTTCCATCATATGAAACATATTGTAAATCATTGATTTTTTCTTGCAATGATGATAAGGCTTGGCTAAGAAGGTCTTGATTATCTTGCATTCCTTCCAAAAAAAGACTTGATTCTTCAACAGATAATTTAACTTTTAATAATTTTTCTGCCAATGTTGAAAGTGAAATTGGTACTTGAAGTGATTCATTTCTATCATTTAATTGCGATAATCTTTGACGAAGAACATTGAGTACGACATGTTGATGTTGTTCAGTCAAATAATGATTTTTCATTTTGGTACAGATAATCTAAAGAACATGAAATTTATGATGTTAATTTTACTGAGAGAATATTCATACTCGTTCATTGCAACCAAAATCTTTCAATGAACAGTCAACAATCAGTTGTTGACATTCAAAGACTTTATGTGCATTGAATTCGTTAACTGAATTGAACTGTTTGCCACAAGAATCACATCTGAGATTTGAATGTGATTGATTAAGATGTTCCTTTGGAACACAACAGAAGGCTCAGAAACAAAAAAAAATATAAAAGGAATTACTTGATAGTTTCTGAAGACACCATTCCATTGGCAAAAAGAACAATCAATACATATTGATTTTATTTCATTTGTGAAGCCTCGATCAAGTAGTACCTATTCAAAAGAAATGTATTCTCTTTTTAAGTATGATAAGATATCTTACCTTGCGTCGTAATGTGTCTGTTGGACATTGTTGACACTTAATTGTCATTCTTTAGAAAGAATAATGAAAAATAATGCATCAAATTGATCATAAACACTTACTCTTGCTGAGTATTTAAACATGTTTGACAATATCGATGACCACATTCAGTCAATTGTACAGGATCTCGCAGTATTAATGAACAAACAAGACAAATATACTTCGTATCAAGAATATGTTTGTTTCTTGCATCGATGCCTACCATGATTTTGATTTTTGCGTTGACCAATATATAAAGAGAAGAAAATTTTCCACAGCGTCGAAACCAATTGATATTTGGTTAGTATCGGGATAAGTGGGCAAAGAAAAATAATTCTTTGAAATTCAATGATGTAATAAATAATATATCTAAAAATCAGGAAGTATGAAATTACAATAAGTTTAAGTATATGTCATTGTCTGTAAATAAAAAAAAACATAGAAGTACTTTTCTAACAGGTTATATTGGAGAATACTTATCAGTTACTCATTACAAGGAACCCTAAGATATATAAATAGAAAAACTGTATAATTCATATGAATGATGCAATTTTATCGAAAATACCATATGAAGCTTAAATGAAGATGTTGGATTAATAAAAGCTAGCTCCTGATAGAGCCAATTTCTTTGCAGATTGGTCGGAAATAATTGCCAAACGCATAATAATTTTTCGTTAATTTTAATGTATTCACAATAGAATAAACATTTTCCGAAGCATAAAGAAAGGGCTTGCGTTTGTGTGCAGAAAGGTGAGAGTTTCGAAGTATAAGTCTGATATGAGTAACTGCTTTTCATCCACATTCGTGTGTGTGAGTTGTTGATCTACAGCTTATTGAAGCTGTATATCTCTAGGTTTTTTCTTAAAAACTAATGTGAAGGAACTTTTAATCGCATTGGTGTGCATTGATATATTTCATTGTAATTTTGAGTAGTTCTAGGTTTTTTTTTGGGTGATTCTCGGTGTTTCTCCTCTACTGGAGTACGGAACTACACATCTTTCCTGTTGAATTGAATGGCGGGGAGTCATCCCCGAGGTGTCAACACTGCTTCATCAGACTATTGGTGAGATCTTCATTTCATTTCATGCTTAATCTTCACTTGTTGAATATGTGTTGCTAGACCTGGATTGAGACTCAAAGCGTAACCCAATAATATTTTAGGTTTTTCTCCAAAATCAACCATAATTTTGATAAAAGTTGTGTCGCCTCGTACACATGGGTTTCTTTTCTATTGAATCACTTTCAATGGGAAGAATTTTGGTATGCTACCGGCTATATTTATATACGATAGAGGTCGTTGAAAACTACTTGATTTAATATCTGGTCGAAAGGAACCAATAATATGTTGTTGTGAGGATGTTTGATCGTATAAACAAAATATGACTGTATAAATGAATGGAAATTTGAGAATCTGATAGTTCAAACCTCGCATTAGCACAAAAAAGAGTGACATATGTGTACGACGAGCATTTCCATCACCATTTAAGTAAAGGCGAGCTCCCATTTTATACCCATTTGGAGATGAATAAAATGGAGGCGAATAAATTGATGTTTGTCTTTCAGACTGCGCATCAACTAAAAGTTTAACAAAACGAATGCGTCAAGAAGAGCAGAAACATAGAGAAACTCAGGTAATTGACAGCATTAATGATTCATTTTGTCCATTCATTAATATATTAGTCATAGATTGTATTCGAGAGCAATTACTAATATTATGTTAAATGTGACGTTCAATCATTAATATATTGGGTCTTGATATTATAGAAATTGAATAACATGTTATTCTTTGATTATGTTTTCGACAAGATTTTCAATTTGTATCATTGTGGATAAGAGTTACGGCTCAACTTACTCATTTTCTCTTGAAAATTTGAAATTTCCAAACCAAGGTTCCATCATATGAAACCTATTGTAAATTATTGAGTTTTTCTTGCAATGATGATAAACCTTGCTTGAGAATGTTCTGATTATGTTTTGCTGCTTCCAAAAATAAGCATTTGATTCTTCAATAGATAATTTAACTTTTGATAATTCTTCTTCCAATGTTGGAATTAATTTGTGGCTTAGACGTTATTCATCATCGGTCAATGTCTCAATGCTACCTATCAAAATGCTGAGCATTTCATAAAGCTCTTCTAATTGAGCTGTAGCAGGATCACAAGTTCTTGCAGTTGTCATTCAAGAAAGATCAGCATCCATTTATCTATCGTTTAATTTCAATAATCTTTGTCGAACAACAAAGAGTACAGCATGTTGATGTTGTTGAGTCAAACAATAATCTTCCATTTTGGCACGGGTCATCTCAACAACATCAAAGGGTGGAGATGCATAAAATCATAAATCAGTCTACGCCACTTTTACTTCTCAATCCTGTCCAATCCCGTATAGGATGAAAGTACCCGTTCAAGAAAACATTTTGACACCAAATTCAAGGCGTTACTAAAAATTTAAGCAGACTTTCTGTCATGTCCCCAAAATGCCATAAATTTTGTACTTCTACGTCGAATAAACAGATACTTTGCCATATGTGTGAGCAATTTTTCTAGTCAAAATTGAATCAAATACTTTTACTCGAAATATCCTTCCACTACAACTGTTTAAGGACTACAAAGTCGTCTACTTCCGACGCTCAAGAAAGTTTCATCACATGATGAATACCTGTACAAACTATTCAGAGAGCCTGATTTTTTGCTACTTTCAAATGTTTTGCGATGTTTGAGCGGAATTTTTAGATTCCAAACTGTAGTAAACATTTTTCTCATACTACCAATTCGATACAACTTTTCAAGAGCTACAAATAGTTTACTTACAAGTCTCAGAAAAGTTTGGCCACACAATGACATCCAATACAAACTATTCACAGACCTTATTGTTTTGTTAATTTTTGATATTTTGCTATATGTGCGGAGATTTTTATATTCCAAATTAGAATGGATATTTATGCTCGTATTACCAAGAGGAACAAAGCGAGACTTCAGTACATGAAGTTTCGTTTTTTCTCTTTGTGTATTACTCATTCCATACAACTGTGAAAGAGCTACATAATTGTCTACTTCCGACTCTCGAAAAAGTTAGGCCATATAATAACCACCAACGGAAACTATTCACAGACCTGATTTTTTGCCAATATGGGACGTTTTTGTTAGGCTGTGGGTGTGAGTATCGGTAGAGATACTACATTCACACTCTCACCCACACATTACACTCACGCTCACACCCACACCATACACTCACGCCCTCGCCCTTACCCTCACTCTACACCGTCGCCCACACACAAATCCATATCCACACTCACATCCAGACGAAGAACGACGAAGTAACCAACAAGCGCTTGGAAATTTCCAAATCAATGTTGATGAAAGGAAAGCAAAGAAACGTAACAGAAGCATAATAATGAATAACCTGCATCCTTGGTTGAAAAGAAACGTGAAGTTATCAACTACTGAAAATTTCCAACTTAATACTAAAAATGTGTAGAAACAAAAAAAAACAAACGAACGTTATTTTTGCTCGAGACATCAATCTAAAGGGTTTGGTTGGTAAAAACACAACATTGAGAGAAGAAAAGAAAATGGTGAGCACATGGCTATGGTTATTGATAATGTTGTCAGTAACGTGTGCCAAGGAAATCCGATAGTAAGTAGAAAAAGCAAAGATTTTTCATATTTTCTGATGGAGTAAAAACGACACCTGGTGAAAAATTATCATTAAAGTTTCAGCCAGGACTCAATAAAGATCTCTAATGAGGATAGATTTTACTCTGGGTAATATAAAAACATTCATGCGTCGTTAAGCTATTTTTTATCGATAGTATTTCATAGTTAATAAAAAAAACAATAATACGACACTTTTCTTTGATAAAAATTCATTCTTTGTTAACTATTTGCTTTCTTATGTGAACATTTACACTGTTGGAAGATTATTTAAAAAATGCAATTATTAATTTAACATTCTCTATGATTCTAACATTTAAAGTAAGCAATTCAACTGCTGAAATTCATGAATAAAAAAATCTATTTGTCTTTCTAAATATTCTACACGATCAATATTGATAAAACACATCCGTACATTTCTTTCCACTACAACCGTTTTATCGATAATTGATGTATATCTTTGTGATACGATAATACATTTTTATGAGTCATAGTGACATTTTCTTATTCCATTAAAATATTATTATAGTGTAACCATTATCTTCTACTCAAAGTAGCCTTTTTTAAGAACAAAGACTGACAGTTTTTGCTTCTCTAGATTCAACTTGCTAGAAGACTTGCATATTTAGAAAGATAGATTGATCGAAAAACAAAGTATTGTGACGACCATTGAGCTACGAATCAAACATGACAATGACATTTATCAAAGCCTTGAAAAGAGATAATGAAACCTAATTTGAAAAGAGATAATGAAACCTAATTTGAAAAGATGCAGACAGAAAATTGATTTAATTAGACAATAAATGTTTCCGTCTCGAAATACTAACAAGTTAACCAAAGGCAAGAAGTGAGTTATGTTGCTCAGTGAAAAGTTTAGGTACAGTAAAATACACAATAATAGTGTACATTTATTTCAAAGTAATAGATATTTATATTTATATTTGGCAAATCAAATGACAAAATAGGAACGTCATATTTTCGCTTCTAATGGGTCACACATTGAGTCTCTTCATATTTTCAAACTAAATTTCATATGCAAGTCTGCGAGCATTGAAGTTGCACTATTGCCGGTAGCTATTTATTCAATCAGTCAATCATAGTTTCATTCTTCAATTCATGAACTGAGTGATATTGAAAAAAAAGAGCTGCTATGGGCTATAATGTAAATGTCAGTAGGAAAGGATGAAGAAAAATTACTCTTTTATCAGTCAAACAGCCGAAAATTGAAAGATAATCAATTGTTATTTTCTGACTCATCCAAAACGTATTATAGGTACACATCATTTTCTCATAGTTTAGAAGTTTCGGTTTTTGAGTCATCGGACACTTGTGTTTTTGCTACTGAGTTCATCTCAAATAATTGTGTGGCAATATTGATACTTAATCTCAGATTCATGACTATCTGATATAGTATATGGAAAATCATTTTTTACAAAGATAGATTTCAAAACTTCGGTCTCCTCACTCTTATATTATTCTTGAACAAAGTCAATGTAACGATCTATTCAAATTTTAAACTACCTCTCTTTTCTTACATGATTATTTTTGACGATAGAACTAATGTCTAGATACATACTATGAGTTACGAGAATTCTGATTGTTGTTTTCAGTGTTTATAGTCAGACTGTTCCTTCCGTCATATGATTGTAAGTCGTATTATTAGAAAAATGAACATTCAAGCTGTAGAATTCTTCAACTTTTCAGATAAATAACATGTCGATTTATGCGTCATTTTAAATGACTCAAAGGCGAACGAAGCAATACTCTGTAATATTGGTAATAATTTTCCATTGTAGCTGCCAAAAGTTTACACGATTACTATTTTTTCCCGATAAAAGTTGTCTCTTATGCGTCATATCATTGCTGCTAAAAATGACGACACAATAGTGTAATTTGAATATTGGACGCTGCTAGAAAGTAATCAAAGTAAGAAACATTTACGCATTTTTGTTCCAGACTCACGTGTCTTTCATCGTAACTATCAACATTTTTCGGCGCCTCAAAAACCTATTAAAATGACAAAACATACATAAAAGTTGACTTGCTTCAATGTTATTTTTTTAAAACTCGGCTTTTCATCATAGTAACTTCATGCTTTTAATCGATAGAATTGAAATGCATCACGTTGTATGCCCACTTCATAATCTGAAATACCATTTTTTCTTAGTATTGTTCATGAAAAATTCATGACAGTTATGAATTTGTTTTTGATTTGTGAAGCTCATGGATTAACACAGCAATACAGTTTGTTTAACTATTGAGTCAATTCGCTTTCTGGAAACAGTCTAAATCGTATCGACATTAACCCTTTCGAGGTGATGGGACCCACCGGTGGGTTCCACTATAATTTACAGTGGTCAGCCAGCCATAAAAAGGAAAAGATTCTCAGAAAATTTATTCGTCTACCAGATTTTGTAGAGCAATCTGCGCTGATCATTTTGATAAAAAAATATTCTAGGTTTGACCAATAAACGACGGCGTTAGGGTCAAAACACTGAAAAACCTCAAGCAGCTCTATTTGCCAGAGCTACAACGTTTTTCAGTATTTTTATCTTAGCACCGTCATTTATCGGTCAAACTTAAAATATTTTTTTACCAAAATGATCAGCGCAGATAGTTCTACAAAGTCTGATAGACGAAGATATTTTCTGAGAATTTTTTGTTTGTATGACTGACTACCCATGGGAGTAGGCCAGTTATACTCCTAAAATTTTTGAAACTTTCCGTGATTCTATAACCTACTATCATCCTATAAATCATCAGTTATACTCATAAATCCCGTTTCTAACAGGCTTTCATTTGATCTAAAAATCACTTGTATATCTCTTTGCATTTGGGCTGTAATCCCTGGAGAAACATTTTTGAGACTACTGTAGAATCACATCGCCGCCAATGGGTTAACAATGTTTATGATTCATCTTAAAGACCTCTCTGCAGAACCCTTGCGTTTTGAGTTCTTAAGATTTATGATTTCATACTGATTGCAACATTATATCACGTTTTTATTACTTGTCGGTACTCCAGACTTCGAGTGTCTTCTTCATCTCATAGTCCTTTGAAAAAATATCTCAATTTTATCTTCTAGGGTGTGGGTGTGGGTGTGAGGGTGTGGGGTGTGGGTGTGGGTGTGGATATGGGTTGTGGGTGTGGGTGTGGGTGTGGGTGTGAGTGTGGTGGGTGTGGATGTGGATGTGGGTGTGGGTGTGGTGGGTGTGGGTATGCGGGTGTTCATCTTGTCTTCAAACACATCCACAACAACACCCACACCCACACTCACACACCCCACCCTGGTCTTAGATTATTTTTATTTTGCAATTATTCTATATTAATGCTATCTCATGCCCATATACTTTAGCTCCAGGATATTTTGAAGAATACTTACTTGATGAAAATGTATTTCAAGTAAAGTCAATATTTAAATTAGACTAATAATTAAAAAAAATAATTATTTTTGTTTCATTTTCCAAGTATTGAGGATCAATAGCTGATAATCTCCAACAAATGTTACTTTATATGAATGTAAATTATTATGACTTAATAAAAATATTCAATCTGTTATATCATTAGGCAATAGTAGACCTGCTTCTGATGTTGTGTTCCAATCTAAATCAATGAGCTGTAAGAAGTTTTGAATTGACAGGAATAAAAGAAAATCTTCTATGTAGATAAGAAGGGTGGATGTGGGTGTGGGATGTGGGGTATGGGGTGTGGGTGTGAATGTGAGGTGGGGTGTGGATGTGGGTCTGGGTGGGTGGTGGTGTGGATGTGTGGGTGTGGTTGTGGGTGTGGGTGTGAGGTGAGGTGTGGATGTAGGTGTGGGTGTGGGTGCTGGTATGTGAGTGGGCGTGAATGGGTGTGGGTGTGGGCGGGTGCGGTTGTGGGTGTGGGTGGTGGTATGTGAGTGGGTGTGAGTGGGTGTGGGTGTGGGCGGGTGCGGTTGTGGGTGTGGGTTTGGGTATGAGTGTTTTTCTTTTCTTAATCCACACCGACACCCAACTTCCATATAAAATATAGGGCTGTAATAGTTAAATATTCCGCATTACCTTTTATACTATAAAATGAGTCGAGTCGTAACTCCTTTGATTAGAAACTGATGAATTTCGTGGTGAAATCCATCAATTGGCGAATACAGTAATGCAACAACATTTTTTGAATTGGCGAATGTCACACTAGTAATTCTCCAATTGGCAAATTTCGTGGGGAAGTGCGCCAATGACGAATATACTGTTGGCCAAATTCGCATTTGGCGAAATTACATAGAGCCCACCCACCCACACTCACACCATTTTTAGGTTTTAAAAATCATTTAGAAAACTTAATATAATCTATTGTTAAGGAAAAAGAAGAAAATATCACGTTTTGAAACAATCAAGATCTTCGCCTTATTTCGTGACAGCACGAAAGTCAAGACGGAGATAGCCAAGAAGATTGACTGATGATATCTTAATACAGGATTCTTTTTAATTTCCAAATTCACAATTGATTGCCTTGACAAGTTACGCGAGCGAACTCAGTCATAGTGGAGAGTTAGGCGGACATATACGAAAGTATTCTTTTGCAAAACCTGATCGTTTATATAGACACATATATATGTGATCTATCATTTTCAAAAAACGCACTTCTCAAAGTTTTAAAGATCCTTAGAAAAGGGCATGCCAAGAGTTAAGCCCATAAAATCACATAAATAGAGAAAGTTAATCCACTCGGCAATATGAAACAATATTGCACAGGCAAACCATATCATAAAAGCTTCCTCATTGGTGGGCCGTACGTTAGACAAAAACGATTTAAATTGAATTTAAAAGAGTAGGAAACAGAGGATCTTGAGTCTCAAAACCTATCTAAAAACATACTGTTGGATATATTATAAACGCTACAAAGAAATAACGTCCAATAAAGCGTGCATTTTTACCACATGGTCCTACGTATGTATGCTACTTGTGATAGGAGCAAAAACTAATGAAACCTTTCCTGGCTATTTTACAAGACATCCAAAAACGTGAGATCTCTCGTCGAAAATCCGTTTTTATGGATCCCTACCACACTTTGAAGAAAAACCAAGGTGATATTTAGAATCAGCGCTGTAAACTTCGTCCAATGATATAAGGCTCAAAATATTTTTCAAATAACAATTTTCTCTACAAAATTTGGGCTGAGGTCCTCCATATACATTGTCTAAAAAAAAATTTTTTGTCAAAAAGCTTTTAATATTCAAATGTGTTTTCTAAATAAAATGCGATTACTAATCAAAAGAAAATTGCTTCGGAGCACAAAATTGGCATTCTAAGGTGCTTATACGAATATTACTTAATTCCCAAGAGGCTCCCTGAGGTAATTATGATGGACAGAAAATTCTTTTTTTTAAACGTATTGTTTTTCCTTGAAAATGATTCCATGAGTGATATATGATTATTTCTAAGAAACCATTGTATACTGGTTCAAGTTAGTAACGTCGATATTGCATCAATTATAGTTAATCATTTGGTGATTCTAATATATCTCTGAAAATTAAGATCTAGAAACTTTTACATTACACAATATTTCGTTTTTTTAAAAATCGTAATCACAAATCCTGGAAAAAACTTGTCATAAATAACTGATATGTATTGTTCGATGCAGTTTCATCAGCTCTTTTAATGAAAAAAATATTCTAAAAATACTCAGACTTCTTCAGTTTTGAAAGAGATAATATATCAGCTTAATTAAGTTTGATTAATTTTATTTTTAGGGAGCAAAATTCTGTTTAATAATAAAAAAAATTCTTCTTGAATGATATCAATCACAATAATCTATGTTTGGGAAGTAATTGATAGATTTGCTTTTGTTTTATTAAATCCATATTAAAATATCTTTAATGTAATCTGGAACTCTAAATACTAAACACATTGATGGTAAATGATCTTTTAACCATTTAACAACTTCATCTTCATTTTCCATTTTTCCATCAACATATTTATCATTATCATTCTTATCTAGTGATAATTGTTTATAATTCTTTTCATCTTCACATTGAATTCTTAATGATCGAAGATTTTTCATATTTTTGACAAGATAAATTATGCATTCACGATTATTAACTCGAATAGAAAGAACTTCACACTGAATACCTAATGATGAATGACACAATCTAATACATTCGTCTTCATTAAAATAGTAATTACAGCCTTGTAAATAAAGTTGACGAACTGATCCATTTGTACATTGAAATAATGATATTTGTAAAGGTAATAATACATTTTGACAAATATTTAAACAATCAAGGTTAGGTGCATGATCAAGCAAAGCTTGCATTTGAGACTGAAAATTATCAGCATAAGATACTACTCTGAGTGAGTTCAGTTGATTCAAATTTGGAACAATTGACCAAAATTGATCATTGATTGGAAGTTCTATATGAAGGTCTTTAATATTAGCCAAACGAATATGCGATGGTATCGGTTGGTGAAATAATCTCTCATCATAGCTGGTAGTTATTTTATTATAAAACTCTTGATGATCATAATGTAAATCGTTCGATTTCAATGAATGAGGAAACCTATTCTTAGAGTATGAAAATATTTCAGATAAAGTATGGAGATAAATAGTTCGTGTTTGTATGAAACATCGAACAAACCATTGATGTTCTTTAATCCAAAATGAATTTCGAAATGAATTAATTAATTCATCGGCACGTTCTTCTATATTTTGTTCATGACTTGGTGTCTGTTCCATCTTGAGTCTGAATACTTTAAGTTTAGGTAAATAGTTACAAATGATTTGTTTCCATTGATGCCCATCGATTAATCTTGCGTCTAAACTGATATTCAAACGACATAAATTAGGTGTATTTTGGAGAAATTTCATTTATTGAAACATTAGAAACATTATATACACGTAAACTCAAATCAATTAATGTTGAAAAAGTAGATGGTGTATAATTATCATCGATAAGACAGTCAAGATATACATAAAGACGCTTAAGATGAGGTGTACATTTAAACAATCGATTTATCTCATTTAATTGAAAGTTATAGTTACGTATAGATACGCTTTGAAGCGATGAGGAAATATTTTTTGGTTTTCGTAATATTTTTGATCTTGTCAAAGTAGTAGCGACATTGAGATAAATAAGTTTAGGTAAATTCCAAATATTGTTGATAAATAACTGAAAATTTGCTTGATTGTTTCGAAAAAAATATGAGTCAACTGTTAAATGAGTGAGATTAGAAAGATGATGACATTCATCTATAATTTTTATTAACGTTTCATATGATCGAAAATCTTTGACTGAAAGTGATCATAATTGAGTAAATTGATTGAATGATGATATATAAGAAAGAAAGAGATTAATTTGTTCTGGAGTTTCATCATTGTCAGAAAGATAAAGAGAAATAATTCGATGACTAATGAACGGTAAATGTTGTTGACAAATCATATCGAAATTATGTTTCGACCCAGAATCAAATTTGAAACAATAATTTCGAAATTGATTATAAAGAAGAATATTGAATCTAGTATTAAGGCCATAAAATGCTCGAAGAAGATCAATACCATTGAAATAATGAAAAAGATCGAGTAAAATTTCATTTGGTAACAGGGGTGTGGGTGGGTGTGGGTGTGGAGGTCGAATTTCTTCTCACGCATATCCTTTTTCTGGCTCTTTATTATCGATAACGTTTGAAGAATGAAATGTTTCAAAATAAAGACACTTTCAAGAAACTTCAATGGCGAGAATATCACTCAACATCTGCAGGCATACCTCGTGATAAAATTCTGTTGACGTTATTTATTCAAAATTTAGGGGTTGCTGAAATTATGGGATCCCGTCAAATTTTGTGAATGATGAAGTATTTTCCATCTACAGAAGGGTCCATTCAGGATCTAATACAATACCTATGGACACATAGTAGTGGTCTATCATGTACCATATTGGTTTGCATTTGTTCAATTAACACTAATGAATTAAGTCAAAAACTTTAGAATTTGAGGTGTGCCATATTTATAGGATCTCACCCCTCTTGCCTTTGTAAAAAAATGTCGATTCTCATGAGAAGAGCTTCTGGTTTCACATAAAAATGGACATAATTTTTTTTCTAAAGACATAAATAGAAAGAATGTGAAATTCTGGAGAAGATAGGTTATTTCCCCTCTATCGTAAATTGATTTCAAAGATTTTGGAAATAAGGCTTTGATTGAGTTTTACTTTGTTCTTAATGTAAACGCTCTGTGTATTTTGTGTAACTCACGTATATTTTCGAAGAAAATAGTGATTATAAGTTTTAAGTTCAAGTTTTTGCGGATTCTCCCCTCCCCAATACAGAAACATATCAACATAAGCCCCCATTACTGATGTTTCCTATTGCAGACAGACCACCATTATACACCTCAGCAACCGCGCATAGAGGGCTTTATACTCTATACAAATATTTCAATGCTTTCATAATTATTTGTAAAAAAAAATATTTTCCAGTTTACATACAATGCATTAGGATAACAAGTTAGAACAGAATACGTGAGTTCCACATTTCAGATTTAAAGAAGCTATGCTAATAAGTTTTTCATCATAATTCTATCTTTTACAGAGAAGGTCACATATCTTTTTCATAAACAAAGACAATTTCAGCATTAGCGAAACATAATTTAAAATTCAAACATATGATTTGACTTAGAAGCGGGCCATGAGTCTGGATGTGAGCGTAGTATATGAGAAAAGAACACTCATGCTAACACACTGCACCTTCTTCCTCAGAAAATATCTTTGGTTCAAAATTCAAATTAGGGCATTCTATTTTCTATCATAAAGAAATTATTTTTAATGACAAATCCATAACATACCGTAGTAGTTTATGGCACTTTTTCATTGCATTTGTATCGTATCTGACATTACTGTGTTCTTCATTTATATGACTGCTGGAACCTCTAAAGATGTTAAAGTGTTAAACGAGCAAAGCGATGTTTTCCAATCAAGTGATATTTCAACACTTTATTTGATATAGTTCTATAGTTTTCTTTTTTTAACTTAATCACATGGTCTTCCACGTGTGATTACAAGTGTCAACGCTTTTTGGTTAAAATTTTGCCGATCATTCTAGTATTCTTCAGCTATTTTGTTGTCAATAACATGGCTAAAATCTGGTTCATGATTGATGATACCAATGACAGCATTGATGATGACATCGGTCAGTCTTCGTCCAGGATTCCAATTATCAGACTTTGCTCCTAGCCAACAGCAGCGGTGCTTACCAGAAGGAGTCACATTTGAATGATATATTGAATCAAGGATAGTTACGTCGGGAGGTTTGAAGGGATAGTCGGCTTGCAATCGTATCTCGATCAGAAACGATGCGAGACTATATGGATAAGCAGTTGGTAAAATGTGACCACGACTAGTAAGAATGTTTCTTTCACAATAGATTTCAGGCACATTGGTGTTATCGAGGCGAGGCGGTAGTGCTCCTCGGTGCAACAACGGGATTGAACTATCATCCAATATGAACTTGCTTTCAGATTCCCATTCATGGAGTCTCTGAATTTCCAGAAACGCACGATTCATAATGTTGCTGGTTCCTAAGATAGTTAATTGTAGATAGCTGATGTTAGAGTTGTACCTAGTCTTGGAAATAAGCATGTATGAACTATGCGAAGTGTATTTTTTGTTGTACATTTATATGAGAATTTAAACGATCTTAATCAATTTAATTCCGAAATACTTAAGGCATATCAAAAATATCAAGATTGATCTCATATTTCTCTGTGAAAAGCCTGTATGTAGCACTAGAAATGCTCTAGATTTCTTTCATATAGCCCAATTCTTTAAATGTCCAATCCGACTAACCTATAAAAAAAACAAATTTGAAGATCTGGTAAAAAATGATCAAAGTTTTCCTACTCTTGTCAAATATGCTATATAATGAAAATAGATTCGTCGAATGTAACTTTTTTAATATGATTTATTAAGACCTCGTCCATTGTGTGAAAAGTTTTTAAAATATTAGAGTTTACTGAGCTCAGTTTAGGGAGCGCTTCAAAATATATTCCGATCGGTCGGTCGGTCGTTATTCCTTCATTCCTTTATTCCATTCTTCCGGTATTTCACTATTCCTATATTCCTTCCATGTTCCACCACTATTCCTCTGTTCCTTTATTCTCTATTCCTGTGTTCCCTTATTCCTCGATGCCCTTATTCCTTATTCCTCGATTCCCTTATTCCTTATTTTTCTATTCCTTCATTCTTCTTTCTTCTCGTTCATTTTTTTCTCTATATCTCTATTGCAGAACATTTGACTATGTATCGCCTTTTCGTTCATGATTGAATTTTTTTAAATTTTTTCAAAGATTAACAATTACTCTCTTTGAACGTATTATTCACTCATCAAGCTATTGATTGCATATTGAAATCATGAATGTTCATGTATGCATAAATTTTGTGTGAAACTATTTAGATGTTCATTAATAAGAAAATTTTTTCATTAAAAATACAATTATTTAATTTTTTTTGAGCATTCTTGAATAACTTAAACTATCGATATTTATTAGTCTTTATTTATTTGAAAAAGTTGCACATTAACAAGTAAAATGAAAAAAACGAACTATTAAACGGCGAAAATTATGATGATCGCAACCGACAACACTTTTTATTTATAGTATCTTGAAACTTTTTAGTTTGTCTATATGAGGTATATCGCTGTCCATAAATATTATATAAGTGTTCATCAATGACATGAACACGTTGTGAACATAATTCTTTTGTTCCTTTAACCGTACCGCAGATTGAACTTGCTTTCAATTCTTCACGAGAAAACATTGCGCTGTATAAAAATGATAATAAATTATTGAATCCACTATCTTCTGATACCAATGCGGTATCTGTAGCACGTTTGGCACGATTGTATTTGCCATCATTTACTTGATAAGTTTATCGTGAGCTTGAATCTGTGATTGTTAATATTGGACCCTATACACAAAAAGATGAGATCGGCTCCTTCTTTTTTTACCGATTATGACCACTTACACGAAAAGGTGATTGTACTGGTGCCGATGATAATGAGCGAATTTTTTTCGATCTACTTGTTGGTTTGCAATTCTAGAAATATTTTAGTGTAATAGTTATCTACTTGTGAAATACATGAAGAGTGTTTTACCTGCATTATTGAACTATCAAAACCTGATAAATGATTATCTCCGCTTGTTTTTCTTTTATTAGTTGATTCAAATAATCCATTAGTCATATCATTGATACTTTGTATAACTATGCTAGCATTGTTTCCATCCTGTAATGAAGTATAAGGTATTCTATCAAGTAATTTTCCTCTGAAATTTCTTCACATATTGTGTTACATTCGTCGTTGTTTAAGTTGATGTCCTGATAAATCTTATCATTATCAACCATCGTTGTTAAATTAGTACAATTTTCATCAATATGATCTGTTTGATTAAAATTACGATCAGGAACCTAAACGATTAAAAAACACAATAAAGTATCAGTTGGTAAAAAAGAATCTTTATCATCATGATTTGTATGAGCGTGTGATAGTGAATATTTTGTACACGAGCAAGTAGAACACTATCCTCTTATAGTGTAAGCCTCTGAGAAAGTTTCACAATGCTGGTAATTTTCGTTTCATCTACGTTAGCCCTTATTAATGAATATCATTGATTACCTTGTTTGTAATTGTTTGAATTTGTTCTGCAGCATCTTCAATTGCTCGTTCATATGATAATGCTCGCTCTTCAATAATATTCAATAGTTTCAAGCATGATGTTTCTGTTTTATGAACAATTTCTCTTGTATGAATATAATCAGCATTTATGCTACTTAATGCCATTTCCATTATTGTTTCTTTTGATATTAACATATCTACTAATTGATTCAACTTCAAAACATTCTTATCAATTCGTTCAATCTTTGTTAATAATAAATTCAGTTTGTTGTTGATCTGATTATTATTGCATTCATCGTTAGGTGCTAGTGATGGTGAATCACAAAATTCGAACGGATCTTTAGTTATTTCTTGAGACATAGTACGTGTTAATTATGATAATTTGATAATTTTAAGATGTAGAATAGGGAGCAGACGTTTATTACGAAAAATAAAAAGTAGAGAAAAAAACTTACGTAGATAAATGTGAAATGTCTAGTTACTTGTCTAGCTTAAATATAATCCTAGAGGTGAAATGAAAATTGAGAGTATTTTGTTGACGAAACGCCGTTCTTATTTTAATCTTTTCTTGTATATATTTGTTTCTTGTTATTATTTGTGTTACATTTCTACGATTTATTACACATTGTCTTTACAAATTAAATTACAAGAACGTAGTTCATTTCATTGTACAGATGTGTTTTATACATATCTTTCAAAAAAATTAAGATAAACAATTATAACACTAATTGGTATGACGACAGTGAGAAATTTCTCTTTCCTTGTAGAGTATTATTAGAGACAAAAAGGGTGTGGGTGTGGGTGTGGGTGTGGGGTTTGGGTGTGCCTGCGTCTGTGAGTGCATGACGAGAAGAACGATACTAACACCCACACCCACGCTCATACCTACCCATACCCATACACATCAATACCTATTAAAGCATGCATTGTGCCTGTTACACTGTTAGTATCGGAGATGATACACTCTGGTACTTATCTGAGATTAAGATGTCCAGTCTAGTCCAATTGGTATAGGACATCGGCCAGAATAGCAGAAGGTGCATGATTCGAGCCTCGCGAAGAGCATTTTTTCTCTATTTTATTTATTTTCACTACATGTCCCTTATGACTGACATATGCTGCTTACACATACACTTATCGTCGTCTACGAGACATTCGAGAGAGACGGTATTCTTTTTTCTTTCTCCTTTTTTCTCTGAACTTCGTCTGGTTCTCTGCATATATCGGGTGCACAATAAGACTTCATTGGTTCTATTGTATCTTGTGTTCCAGTTACTTTGTCTTGTTCTAACTACCATCATTTTTTCCTTTCTTTTATCCAGAGATGGGCAAGTGAGAGGTTTTTAAGGTTCAGGCCAAGTCAAGTCATTGAAACCAAAACCCAAGTCAAGTCACACAGTTTTCAAGTCCAGCCAAGTAAAAAAATGACTATATATTCTCATTTGGCCGCCGCTTATCTGAAGTACATGACAGAATTTCTTTTTCTTTGTTTCTACTCTCATAGGTACTTTTAGTATAGAGAAGAGTTAGACGCATAAATTGCAAAAATATGTCCACTTTTTTTACTAGACATGTGACTTGCCTTTGAAGGTCAAGCCAAGAGTTCAAAAGAAAAACTCTCACGTCAAGTCAAAAAATGACTTGACTTGCCCGTCTCTGCTTTTATTCGTTCTTCTTTTTCTTCAATACATTTTCATTCGAGTACAAATGCTTACGCATTTGTATTATGTTCTGTCCACAAGTTGAATGGGATTGCTCTACGTGTCAATCTACTACAACTGATCATCGAATATATTCTACTCACTGTAACTCGAGGCTAATCTGGACACGTATTGATTCGGGAAAATCTGGTTTGCACGCAAACGTTTTTCGACATCATAACAACTGTATTTATTGTACACCAGAACCCGAAGAAGACAAACCACAGAAAGTGGATGAGAAGCATATTGCTAGAGTGTGGGTGTGGGTGTGTGTTACTATAGACACACACCCACACCCACACCCACACCCACACCCACACCCACACCCACACCCACACCCACACCCACACCCTGAATTTATTCTTGATGAATCTGCTCCTCCGTAAAGCTCAAGAAGTTCATTGTGGTTCGAAGTGGAATGTTGGCGAAGTACAATGAAGTATCTGAGTATTATTATATGAAAGATGAATATAGGATTGATTCAAACTAATTGAAGCAAGTTTTGCCACAGTAAACTTGAAATCATTAAAAGTTAGCGAGGATAAGCTTGACGCAGTCTTGAAATATGATGAAGCATGAAAGTTTCGCCCTTTTTCGTGACTGGAAACTTGCACGCACCCTTTATCACTAAACCATTATATTTATATGTTCACGACGGCATTTGGAAGAATGTTCGTTAAAAGGGTGTGATACATAGAAAGCGGTTAAGGGGCATGATTGCTTGTATATGTCATCTTTTCTCGTATCATTGTTGTGACGTTATCGTATGTAGGTATTTTTCATCTACATCTTCTTGCGTACTGTTGTCATGCGTGAATGAATATGTTCGCCTTTCTAGCATGGTCATCTGCATTCGTTCTATTAGTCTTTATACATAGATCATGAATGTTCTCTCTAGTACTTTCCAGGAAGTTCTTGGTACTCTACCAGCTTCTGGATATTTTATTTTGTTTCTGTGCTCATGTATATTTATATACCACTCGCCTGCAACAATAAACGTTTTATACATACGCAATAAAACTAAATTTGTCTTTGAGCTGAACTGGTTAATGGTCGACAGCCTGTGTTAAGCTTTGTGACATCTTGTTTTTGATTTTGCGAACGATCTTATTGCAATCTTCTTTGCGTGCATTGTGCACTGTTGAAGTTAATAGATCAAAATTCTAAGTAATGAATCATAATCTATTAAAGTCTTGCTGAATTATGGAACTTCTGGACATGTTCTCTGAGACTACATATAGGTNATGGCTAGCGAGTTCCATCGACCCAGGATAAGGCTTATGAAATCTCGGTTCGAGAGGAACCTTGTTTCTGGCGGCCTATATTCGCCCTATCATCCTGTCGTCTTTGGGTTTCTGTGGCATTTTATAAGAGTTTCGGTTCCAATCAAAACCCCACCACACCCTGTTGGCAAGAGGCTGAGTATTGTCCGGGACTGTTTATTTGATCAATTGCTTGATCTTATTCGCAGCTAACCATCATACTAATGGCCGTTCCACTATCCGCAACCTGTGGACCCGCTTGGTAGCGTCCAGCTTAGCCCCAAGGAATTATAGGTAGAATTCAAAATAAGAATTCTCATTGTCCTATCCTTCTGCTACCAGTTCTCGTGCATAGCCTAAGAGAGAAGACTCTATTTCGATGAAAAGCATAAATAAGTATTGTTAGTTCAAATAATCCTTCTTCAACACAAGGTTCACAATTTTCCATCCTATTTTCAGATAAAAATGATATCGTTTCATAAGGATTACAAAACATTGCTCGTTGCGGAATTTGCTTCTTTATCTTCTCAATATTTTACAGTTAAAATCTTAAATCTTAGAACTGCAACATGAGGGTGTGGGTGTGGGGTGTGGGTGGGTGTGGGTGTGTGGGTATGAGGGTGTGGATGTGGGTGTGGGTGTGGGTGTAGGTGGGTGTGAGTGTGGGTGTGGGTGCGGGTGGGTGTGGGTGTGGGCATGAGAGTAGAAGGGATGAACATCCACATCGAGATCCGCCCACTCCCATCCAGATCCACCCACTCCCACTCACGCCCATACCACATCCACACCCACACCCACACCCTGCCCCGATTCGTCTAGGAACTTGTTCCAGATGTCCTAATCTTGTTCCAAGTAGAACTCGATGAGCTCTATCCAATGGTGAAACCAGATTTTAGATGGCTCAACCTATATGAGAGTAAAACGCCAAATACCGGTTTTCCCAAAAACTTATCTAGTAATTCTTGCCTCGATTCGCGCAGAAATCGCTTTTCAGTCTCCGTTCCTTGTTCTTAGTAAAACGAGCTCACCGAGTTCTACTTGGAACAAGAATAGGAGGTCTGGAACAAGTTCCTAGACGAATCGGGGCAGGATTTACGAAAATGGTTTTAGCTATAAACCCGGTATTTTGAGTTTTACACTCGAATAGTTTCAGTTATCAGAAATCTGATTTCACCATTGGATAGTGCTCACCGAGTTCTACTTGGAACAAGAATACGAGGTCTAGAACAAGTTCCTAGGCGAATCGGGGCAGGATTTACCAAAAAAGGTTTTGGGCAAAACTCGGTATTTAGGGTTTTACTTGCGTATAGGTTGTGCTATCGAAAATCTGATTGCACCATTGGATACAGCTCATCGAGTTCTACTTGGAACAAGAATAGGACATCTGGAACAAGTTTCGCAGCGAATCGGAGCAGGATTTACGGAATCGGTTGTTTGGATTGTATGGGGAAAACTCGGTATTTTGGGTTTAACTCCTGTATAGTTCGAGCTATCCAAAATCTGATTTCACCATTGGATAGAGCTCATCGATTTGTACTCGGAACAAGTATAGGAGCTCTTGAACAAGTTCCTGGGCGAATCGGGGCAGGATTTACTCGAATCTGGGGCTAACTTCACCTACGTCCCTTACACCCACCCTCAAGCGTCAATTTAATATTGGAAGTCTTCATTGACTTTCGATTTAAGTTGATTCTTAGTTTCTTGATGCAGATTTCTTGCCACCTGATGATTCTCCCTTGAATAAGGAAGAATTCCGGAATGTGGTAGTTCTTGTTTGAACTCACCCTCACCCTTCCTCACCCACTTTATCAAACCGTTAGAGCAGGCAGGCCAAAACAACCTATCTGGTCCTCTGTTTGCTATCTATTTGATATACATGTGTGTCTATGTCTTCTTATCATCTCTTTTTCACAAGCATTTAGTAAGAAGACGACTTCTACTTCATCCAATATCTCTCTTCTCGTAAAGCTTCTATCCACATGGTTCAATCGAATACAGTCAACATTTGTCAGTTGCGGTGCAACTCTTTCAGTGAAAACATCACGACAATTACAGCACTTTTGGCCATTCTTCATCGCTACAATTTCAAAATCAAACCAGCGTCTCATGTGCCCAGTACGTTCGCTAGAATATGATTTTACTTTAATTTTTTTCTGAAGTATATCATGATATCATGTCAAAAATTTGTTTGAAATAAAAAGAAAAAATATAGTTTGAATATTACACAATGCTTCCAGTTTTAGCGTTAACCCTTTACGGTCGGATGATACCAAATGGGCACATGAAGTCAGTATTTCTGTCGGGTTCACTTATGTTAACGATGCATAATTTTTCTAACACATTGATAATTACGCTAGTACATCCCCGCGTAAATTCATCTATTCGCACTAAATCTAAAACCTGTCAGTGAAGAAGTGAATGGCTCAGTTTATGGTCGGGCGAAAAAGTATCCGTATCGGAAAATTTGTCTTTCTTCGTGTCTAGACATTCAATAAAAGAAGCAATTAGCGACTAATTTTCTTCTATAGATCTATGATCTATTACACAACTAAGAAGGATTAGGGAGTAAACTCGAACAATATAAAATTGGAATGGTACCAAAAGGTAACATCCGGCCCTAGATGTTCAAAAATTTGGAAAAGGTCAGCTTTTTATATCTATCAGAGTTTGGTATTTCGTAGTTTTTTGGAATCAATCTGTTGATACTAGATACCAGTTTATCTTCTTGTCCGTCTTCTTCAAGTCAGAGTTAAGATATCTCCAAAATATTCTCAAATTTTGCGAAGTAATGCAAAAATAGTCAGTTTTTGTCCAGAGAAGTTCTGGAAAACAAGAAGATTCTAGAGATTTTCAGAGAATTTCAAACAATTCTGTAATAGCCTACGTCGAGACACTCTGGATTGCTCTCAGATTTTCGTGAGTCTTCTCTTTTTGCAGAGCTTCTCTGGACAAAAATTTACTATTTTTGCATTATTTCGCAAAATTTGAGAATATTTTGGAGATATCTCAACTCTGACTTGCAGAAGACGAACAAGAAGATAAACTGGTATCTATTATCAACATATGGATTCCAAAAAACCACGAAATATCAAACTCTGATAGACGTAAAAAGCTGACCTTTTCCAAATTTTTGAACACCCAGGGCCGGCTGTTACCTTTTGGTACCATTTCTCCGTTCGGCAACGGAGAATTTTTCCGTGACAACGAGTATACTTTTGATATCTCCATGCTGATAGAACTACAAATATGCGGGAAAATATTTGTTTACTCTCTCGCTTCTAGAAGCCGGCCGTAAAGGGTTAAAAGAAAATCATTGAAATAATTCAGTGGAAATTTTTCATTGTCATTTTTGTAGAGAATTCTATGATGCGAACTTTTGTTAAAAAAATTTCAACATTACAGATTTTATCAATCATTTTGATTCATGTTTACAACAAAGATTATGTTTATTATCGAATATGACTTGTCATAGAACAAAACATAAAAACTCTGAGATTTCTACCAACAACAGGCGTCTAAAAGAATCAAGACAAAGAAAAAACTTATAATACAGACTCAAAACAAAAGATTTCTTCCTACAGAGGGAGAGAGTGGTCAATTTTTTTTTCATTCGTTCATTGATTTGAACATAATGTTCATAATGAATCATACTTCTATTATTATTTATTTACTTGTTTCGTAATTTCAGGCATATTCATTCAGAAAAGCTAATTATTTAAATGCTAGATTATGTACATATATATTACCGCCAAGATTAGGTACTTTGAAATACAAACAAAATTTCGAGTTGCGAGTTTAGCAAAAATATTGATCGAAACTTTTAAGTAGTCTTTGTTATAGGCAAGAAATTAGTCATATTGACAGATTAATTTTGCTTAACTATATGATTATAATTTTAGAAAGAGAAAAGAATCAAGTTTCTTTCAGATAGAATAATAATTCGAATTATGAGTGAAACATTAACCGATGAAGAAAAAGCATCAATTGCACGACGTTTTATTGCTCATGCACCACCGGGCGAATTCAATGAAGTTTTTAATGGTAAGTTAATTAAATCATTAAATTTATTTACAAAAGAAAACTCTTTATAGATGTACGAACACTACTCAATGATGATTCATTAGTTCGACGATCGGTTTCACAGTAAGTTATTTTTATATTCATTCATCGAGTATTATTATAAGAGCTATGAGTATTCTGGAAAGAGTTCAGGTCTTTAGCTTATTATTGCCGAGATATTGCAATTTTATGATAGTTTTTAAATGAGTGCCGTAATCCAAAAAACATGATCTTCAAATTTCGACTAGAATCTTTATATAGAGACACTCCTTAAGAAAAGTTTCCTGTGAATGTTTCAGATTTTGCCTTTATGCTTATCTTAAAATACAGCCAGGACTGAAAACTGTACTTTGATATCGAGGTTTTGCATCCCAGAGAAATCTTATGCTGGTGCATTGAAAGTTCTATTAAACTAAATAATTCAACATACAGATTTTTATATATTTTTAGAGTCTCCCTTAGAAATAATCAGTACTAATCTATTTCAATAATTAGCATTCGTTTTAATTGAATTAAACCTCATTATATTCTACATAATGAACTCAGACTTGATTCTAAAGCAATTTTGCTACTAGGAAACTTTCCTTATAAGATCATTGAGTTTTAACTCGTTAATCAATTATCAGTAGTTTTTAAGATGCCTATCTCTCTACTCCGAAGACCATGCGATCGTAATTTGTAATCGATATGAATACTGAAAATTTTAATTTCATATTTTTATTTAATTTTAGAGCATTTGCTGAATATAATCGAGATCAATATATTCCAACAAAGGTTCAAAATTCAGAATACAAATGTCTTATAACCGATGTCAATGATTTAGGTGATAGTCGATTTTATGATCCACGTACAAGACAAAGTTTTAAGTATGTTGTTATATTTTTTCTTTAAATAAAAATTTTATTTCCTTTTCTAAATTACTTTAGATTTGATCATTTACGTCGTGAATCATCGGATTATGAACATTATCAACTAGATGAAAAATCTGAAACATGGCGTTTAGCATGGGAAAAAGAACTTACAAATTATATTAAAGAACGTTATACATATGGTTCTTGTACAGTTATCGGTGAAACTGATGCCGATACAATTACATTAACTGCTTTTATTGAAAGTCATAAATATGAACCGAAAAATTTTTGGTATGTATCTCTATTTTATTTATTTGCGAATATAAAAAATTTATCGTTTTCTGTTGTATAGGAATGGACGTTGGCGATCGAATTGGTCATTAACTTTTAGTAAAGGTCAACACACATGCGAATTAACTGGACTTATCAAAGTTCAAGTAAAGAAATAACATTTTGATTGAAACAAAATGAAAAACAATTTTTGAAAGTTCTTTTGTTCTTTTTTTTAGGTGCATTATTTTGAAGATGGTAATGTTCAATTAGTTAGTAGTAAAGATATTACAGAAATAATTCAACTTCAAGTATGGTTTTTTATTTTCATATGATTTTAGTGATTTTTTTTTTAATTTATAGGATGAAACAATGACAGCAAAAGAAATCATTCGAATTATACGTCAAGCAGAAGATAATTATCAAGTATGTAACGAAATTTGAAACTTCTCCTTACAGAGAACAAAATAATAGGAGAAAAATAATTTTTTCAATGAAAAACACTTCAAAGAAATTCTCATTATCTTCGAACATATACTGTTTTTACCTACTCATCAATTGAGTCTTACGCAAACACAGCTAAATTGTGTTTTATATTTGATCAGGAGCGTACCCAGGATTTTTCAGAATGCTGAATCTCGACTTCCGAGCATGGGATCCAGATGAAAGTCACGGGAGGTAATGTTGGACCTAACTGATGGAGTGTTATCAAAAAAAATTTGCACTCGGAGTTTGCGAAAAAAATTAGCATTTTCCTGGGCACCCCCTAGGATTTTTTTGCTGTTAGCAGTATGCTGATTTTTAGAGTTTCAAAGGAAGCTACACCTAATTTCATCGACGGATTTCAAATTTCATCTAAAAATATGCAACCATTCAAGAATTATAACGTTTTGAAATTTTGCAAAAATTGTTTCCACATGTAGCAAAATTTCAAAACATTATAATTCTTGAATGGTTGCATAATATTAGATGAAATTTGAAATCCGTCGATGAAATTAGGTGTAGCTTCCTTTGAAACT